GGGGGGGTGCACATGAGGAACGTGTACATGTGGGCTTAATTAACTGAGTATTGATGTGTTTGTCCTCATACCCATTTATCTCCTTCATATATATGTTGCCATTTTATGCATTTCACTACAATCACCATTTTTTCCCAACAACTCCTCTTCCATTGAAACAAAGTCCTTTTTCCAACTCCATGCCTAATTCCCATCCTTTTGTTTCCTTAAATTTATCGCCATCCAAACCCTAGCATTAAATATATTTAAAGTTCATATAACGATTTTAGTTGAATTACTTCGGTATGTCATTATATGTTATAGATAGATTAAGGATACATTGAAGATTTGTTATGTGTACAATCTATTTTATAAAATAACTTATGAAATAAATTATTTATGATTAAATATATTAATTGATTAGCAACTTTAAGACAAAAGAAGTATACCTAATAGGTGTCTATTATACCTACATTTTATTTTTCTCTTTCATAGGTGTCTAATATAAATTCTTTTGGGTGTCTAACAATCTATTTTATTAAAAAAATTATATGAACCGGGTCTCATTGACAGTGACCCATTGGAGTATTTACAATATCGCCTACCAATGAGATTCTGACATTATCAAGTGAGATTTAAACTGACCCTAAAATTGAGTTATTTTGGTGCATAAAAACTTGTGGAACATAGTTTGAATTCTTGACAACTTAAACAACAAAAATTTAGCTATGCGTTAAAATATGTGTGCAGCACCTATTTCTATTTATTTATCCAAACATAGCTATTGCAAGAAAAGAAAAGAAAAAAATCCTTTGTGTACGTAAAAGGCCAAGTGATAAATAATAAGGGAAAACCAAACACGCACTATAATAAGCCTTGAAATTAAATTGGAGCCCACAATACCTAGAATATCACATCAAAATATATAGAAAAAAAAAGTGGTAATCGTTATAAGCCCAAGCTTAATTGATTTATAATATCAGTCAAGAATCAAATCACACAAAAAATATAGCACATTAATTAAACTGAACATGAAATTAACTAATTACTTCAAAACCATATTGCATGATGTCTAATCTACTCTCAGTTCTATACAGAATATTAACTAAAAGCCTCGTATCTCAATTTTTTTTTTTTGTTCGTTCCTGGAGTATCCACCGTCGATAGCATACACAAGGCAGGATTCGAACCCCTGACCTTGCTTAAGCGTGGATCAACCCCTACCGCTGAACCCCTGTCCCATTTGAATGTAATTGTGATCGTACAGAATATGAACAAAATCAAAATGAGAAGGCTTTGAGCTTGTATGACTAGGATTTTACTCTATATGGTTGCAAAGTCACTGTCTATAACAAGGAAAGAAGAAAAGCAAAAAGAAAAAGAGACGAGTAGAAGTAGAAGGCTAAAGAGAGAGATATGGAATGATCTTTGTGATGTATCTTTGGAGATACGGGTAGAAAATTAGTGCAAGAAGATGATTACCCGTAAGACTAGGGAGTGTACCACTGCGGCTTTAGCTAGGTCACACTCCCTTATGAGGTAAGCAGCTCAGGATTTCGGATTAGAGAGAGAGAAAAAGGACTTGCCTTGCAAAATCAGGTTTATATCATATATATATATATAAAATGTGACTATTTCATAAATATATGCATTTTATTTAAATAAATGAAGGAATACCGAATACCCTCTAGAGAGAGGGGAAGCTCCGAGCGATGCTACATTGCCATGTAAATGCATGATAAGGAAAGGCAAATCTCATGATGGCGGTGTCAAAATCAAGCAAATTATGCAATCTGAAAAAGTTGAAACGTAGAGACACGTACTCGAAGGATTGAATAACGTTCAAATCAGTATATTGTTTCCAATGTTTTTGTTTTGTATCAACTATCAAATGAACGGGACTGTTACAACAGAATGAATTCAGAAAGGAAAGATTGAATAGTTCCATCCACACTAGTTTCCCCGATTGGTTCGTTTTTATGTAAAACTTGTACAATGGTACTATTCACAGCAGAGTTATATGCACGGGAGGGAAGGAAAAAAAAAGAAAAGAAAAGAAAAGGCCTTACTAATTTAATTACTTTTTTTTGTTTCCATTTGCTTATACACACTACTTTTTTAGACATCGAATTATTTTACTTTCCATTTAACCACACCACCGATCGAGCAAGAAGTGATTACTGGGAGCTATAGATATTACATAATGCCCCAGAGAAGATCTTGGGCCTAAGATTAAGATATTACTTATTAGTAGCAATTGGGGTACCCCGGTGATGTTAAGCAATGATTTTGGACATATGGGTTGAGTGAATATATAAATAAAATTTTGGATAGTAGTGAGTGATATAGAATGCAGGTAGCATGCATCTTTTCAGTGCTCTCTCTCACACTCACTTTCAAGGGTTGCTCTGGTCACAGGCAAATGGCATAAAACGCTGAAAGCTGAACCGCGGGCAGTGGCAA